CTCATCAGTTTCCAAAACGCACGGGTCAGAACTCGTAACAGAGTTCGACGCGTGCGACATCAGAAAATGGAGCGTTTGGTAGACATTCTGCGAAGAAGACTGGGATGCAGTGGGCGTCGACTCGTCTAAAAGACACGCGCAAATAGCGAGGCGCTTCCAGCATGGTATAGCTAGACCATACATTGTAAAATGCCCAATGATGAATTAGTGACCAGCGACAGGGTCATCCTTCCCACTCCATAGCACCCTTCACCCCTTCGAACTTTGCTCTCTTAAATGACAACATATCCCCAACTAGCTCACTATGAGAACGACAATTGAATATCTCAGAACATTGGAAAGAGAATCTCCTTGAAGTCTTACGATTAGCTCCCACGTTCTGGTCCAAGGGCACTCATGACCTTTCCAGGTTGATAGGTAGGAATGTTGATAGGCTATGGACTTTGGTTCACCCAGATGCTTCTGCTGAAGTGTTCAAAGCATGCGAGGGGTTGCCATGTTGTTGCTTTAATCCCTCATGCCAGCTCCACGAGGGATGTTAGGAATCAGTCGTTTGCAGTAGCTGGGGCATGCCAGTAATGGGGTGGAGTGGCTGTGGCGCGATGCCAGCTTGTTCCCACCAATAGCTAAATCGTAAAAGGGGCAGCATGTAGCGGCAAACGGGCTGGCAGCGGCTTAACCCAGCCCCTCCTCTGACACGCCCCAGTGTCTGCAGCAACAACTACTAGATCTGTGTGCCAGAGTGCTGCTGAGTTTCCAATGTTTTCCTCTGGAATGAGGCACCATCGATGACTAATGTGACTAGTTGCGTAATTTGTTTGCTTCATAGCAATGCCTGCATGCCCTTCTTACTGTCGAACATATATGCGACCTTCGCATCTGCCCGGTTTACGCTTCATTTATTAACCAAAGTTCCGTACTCTTATCAGGCATCACTTGCATCATATCAGCTTCGATAACTTGGTAATAAGTGTTCTATGCTTTGCATTTCTCCCCTTCCGTTCGCTCACAAATACCTGATGCTTGTATTGGTTTATTTGCTAAACTTGCTAAGTAAAATATGAAGCGAAGGAATTTGTATGAAGGGGCCGCTATGCAGCATGGATATATGAGTGTATACATGCAGCCGTACCCACCGTAACGGTACTGGCAAGGTGTGTACGGACTCGCGCAAAATTGCTTGTCGAGTCTATTGAACCGCAAAGCTTTTCTCCTCGGCGCTTTTCGACCGTTTCTTCCGTTTTTCGCCACATTTTAACCATCTCAATAATGGGCGCCCCCTGCACTAATTTTAGGCCAATTACCAAAAATATCGCGTACCAACTGTCTCCCGTCGATCTTCTCTCACCCCCTCCCCTTCTGTACTTCGGATTGGATGCTGTTTCAGCGACTACGGCAAGAAAACAGTGAAGGCGATCATTGAATGTGAATCTGAGTGCCGTCAATTGCGTGAAGGGGCCCTACGATTTCCGGAAGGCCTATTTGCGCCCCTTACACTCGCTTTTCCCCAGCATCGCCGACTTTCATTCTCATCCTGAATTCCCGCCTCCAGACCAGTGACACGCGACAACCGTGGTGCGATGCCTGAGGCGGGCTATCATCTGTTATGGCCATTTGATCTCGACAGTGATTACTACACGATTGGTGGTGATAGTGGAAGCATAACAACAGGGGTAATTCATTTCGTAGGTGCCTGCCTATGGGTAGCTCGGAACAATCTCACCTCTGAAAAGGCGGTACGTCCTACCGAATACTGCTGCTCATTCTGCTCTTCTTCCCTAAGAGGCTCTTGTTTCCAGTTGATGGCCTTTGTTTCGTTTGCGATAGCATACATGACGAATCTTTATTTGATAGTTATGCTGATATACATAAGCAACTTGGCGGTTGTAAGTTTCATACATCAATTTCGTTCGCTTCAACGCCATCTTACGCCCTTTGAGGCGACTGCAAGTGTCACCTCAGGCTGAACCAGCTCTCGTTCTTTTTTTAAGCCTGAGCGGGCAAGGACCGAAAGAACTTGGGTCAAAAGGTCTCCTTCTCCGCTAATGGAGCACCTCCCTCGAGGTAACAGAAGGTGAAACCGTTCGTGCTGGCGGGGGTGCTACCAAAGAATGGGTGCGTGCAGAGGGGGGGGGGTATCACAAGTTATTATTCACAACATACTGGCCTTGATACCCCGTAAAGTTCAGCATTTTGTTTCGTAATTTCAAAACAGTTGGTGAGCTATATATTTTATCAGGGACTAACCCCCGCTATGGACTTCGTATCACTTCGCACTTCTGCACCAACGTGACTCGCATCGGCAGTGATTTACGGCAGCCAGCAAAATGCCCTACCGAGACGATTCAGAACGGAATTCTACGTCATTTTGAAGGCTTCGTTTTCTAGAATAGCTATACCTTGGTGGAAAATACTTGTCCACAACAAACCTCCTCAGATACCTCAGGACTTGAAGCCGGTGAGATTTATTTTATGAGAACTTCTATCCTTCATTTCTTGCAAAGGCTTGGCTGTAGAAAGCAATTGGTAGTCTGGATGGGAGAGAAAATGGATTCTCAGAGGAGGGGGGGGGAGAGTGAATGAGCTCATAGAGAACATCGAAGTGAGAGTGAAGTGGAAGACCGTATTGAGGGGGAGGTGCGGTAATGCTGTGGGATTCAGTGAAACAGAGGTAGAGTCAGACAAGGAACTCGAGCCTGGGCTGGAAACCTCCGGAAAAAGATCACGGATAATACGCCATACTTACAATTGGCAAGCCTTCATCAACACTACGTTTCCCGTACTTTTACCGTTGGCTTTTGGCTCTCAGCGCATAGACCATTGAAAAACACCCGATTTCAAGTGACGCTGCTTTCAAAAGAGGGTATCGCATCAGCATCGACCGGTGTAGACGACTGCTTGCCAGATGCGCCTGGGTTTTCTCGCTCTCTTAGAGGAGCAACCAAGCCAATTGTTCCCACATTAGTGCGACCTCCCTTTCGGAAACGGTAAAGAGTAGAGGCGAGCCAGTAAGGAAAGTGCAGTAGCTGGGTGTCTCCGCCTACACGACCAGCGTGAACTGAACCTTCAGAACAGGGTGAAACTCTTTTCAGACAACGAAATTCGTAGCTGCCCCAAAGGGTACGTTTAAAAGACAAACCAGGGCTGGGGGCTCTGGTCATTGCCTTGTGAGGGAAAATGGATCCTCGGCTTCAGTGGGCGTGCCACTTTCTCCGTTCAAAAGTGTACGGGGACGGACTGGAGGGTATTGATAATTGGGGGGGGTGGCGTCCTTCTATACTTCCGCCTGCGAATCGTGTGCAATGCGTCGGCTAGCGTCTTCCCCCTCTCGAACGTGCCAATAGCCCGTTATGGAAGCCATCTGTGACATGAAAAAGGCTGAGAGCCTCAAATATGAGGTTGAACGTTTTTGAAGCATGTAAAATGGGCCATGTAGAATGCAATACTCAAATACTTCAGATGGAAACGGCGCGACCACCGCCTTCTCAGGATAAGTCATCCGAGAACACGGACCCTCATCCAATTCAACCAAGAATCGCAAGATCTGTGCTTTACATAGACGCCACACAGGAAATCGACACAGGGAATGATCAAATGGTAAGTCGAGGCATGCGCTGCTCATCGTCTGAAACAAGGAGAATCCACGAAAAGGGTCAGAGAAACGCCTGTCCTGCATCCTTACTGCCTATACGGCCCACCTAACAATAATTTACACCGCTAGGTGTAGCCGTGTTGCCTGTAGCGTCATGGGACAATATTATTTGGTTGTCTGCAGTTGAACATTCAGTGGAAGCTTACTTCGCAAGGAAAATGCATTTCGACGTCGCCAAAATTCACCAACTATGTAATGCATTGGTGCAATAGTTCCTCGGCGCATTTATTACCGTAATCCTACTTTGCACAAGAGTTACAGTGAACTACTTTCTGCTAAGAGCTTCGATTCAATGTTGATTTCTGTTTTTTTTTTCTAGTGATGGAGGGCATTCAGTACAACATGATGCGACGAAGCAATTCTTGAGCCTTGCGTTGGGCGTATACCGCGGGGTATCGATTTGCCTGTTAGTGCGAAAAACTCGTACAATGAGATGCGAACCGTCAAGAAGGGGGGAGGGGTGATTTATCGCAAGACTTTATCAGTTTTCTTTTCGCTACTTCCTGCTTAACTGGAGAGTTACGCTCAGCGACTGAAGATTCGCCACTTAGGCCAAATCTAAGCCTATGAAACTTAAATCGCAGAACTTCTCTCCAAGGGGTACGAACTAGCTCCGGGGTGGGGCGAACCAGTGCAAAGTAAAGTAGTTTCATTCGGATAACGGTAATCCCGGTTCTGGCAGAAAAAGGGCCTTGCTGAATGGCTCCTCGTTAACGCCCATCATTCTTTAGCGCATTCGGCTTGCTTGGGGAGGTGCTTAACATTTTGCACAGGCCGCCCTGAAAGACCTTTAAGTTCCTGTAAAAAAGTAGTTTACTCGCACCATTTTGCAGCTTCGCAGGACTTCACAACTCTCACCAAAACCTGTTATTTAACATGAACTGACAAAGGGAACTAAGCGAAAGTGCACATTGCCGGCCAGTCAGATTTTCTCAATCGTGTCCGAACTGTTTCCTATTATTCATGTTCCTGATTCATTTGTTCACCAGGTTTACAAGAAAAATAAACGAAAGCGAAAAACAACAGGAAGGACGACCAGCGATCAAGCGACACAAAGAGATGAGGCTTATTTCACAAATAACAGCGCGGCAGGTAACCCTTTCACACTTTGAGTTTTACCCAGATAGCCTTATTTCTGAGGTTTTTACCAAATCATCTTCATACTGCTTGTCGCCGCTGTTCATTCTCGGTCGTTCTTCTTGCTCGTGTACTCTGATCCCTTGCCATCGCGGTGTTTAATGTTGCTGGCAGCTGTTGGTCCTACTTTTTAGTCCAGCCCATCTTTTGCAGGCAGCTAGCGTTCCAAAGACGCCAATTCTTTTGATAAGGCGTCGCTTCTGCTATTCTGTCCGTTCTGCTTCTCTACTACGACCTACCGCTCACAGGCACTTCCCAACGAGCGGAAAAAGGGAGGAATAGGCACCTATCAGAAGACACATAGGTGTTCGGCGTGCCGTTGACTACGGGAGGGCTACTAAGTCTTATTCGCTGAGTCTGCAAGCGTGCCTTATGATAGAGGGGGGCGCGCGGCGCAAGACTAGTCCTCGTTCACTCATGCTGTATGTGTGTTATTATATATGCGACGACTGCTGAAAATTGGGCTGTTGCGGTGTCAATCTTCAATTCCTTGGTCTGTCTACTGCTGCATAAGGAAAGGTGCTTAGCTCTACAAAACCCGCACCTGGTATTCGCAAAAGAAGAAGTGCACTTGTGTAGGTAGAGTTTACTCGGACCATTGCGCCTCCTCCTTTCCACCATTTTACAAAGGGGAGCCGCCAATCAGAGCTGCGCACTCGAGCAAGTGACTCCACCCATTATATCAGCACGGGACACTTCTTTAACGTCAACGACTACATTGGACAGATGCGAAGGCTTAGTACATAGGATGATATTGAACATATTATCCTAGGTTTCGCCTAATCCTCTGAAGGGGAGGAAATCCCACATGAGAGGACCATCACAAGACGGATTCATAAAAACTCCTGCAGCGCGAACACCAGCAACGTGAGTTGACTGAAATTTTGCAGCAGCTGAAAGTACAAACCTCCTTACATTCAACTCTAACTCTTGGCAGCCTTTATTCCAGGGCCGTTGAGCCTGAACATCTACCTCGTGCTCCAAAGGGACATCATGTAGAGGAACTGCAAGAGATGGTTAGTTGATCCTACTTTAAAGGATTACAGGAAGGAATAGAAAACGATGAGGAATGGGCGGCATCAAGTTCGACGCATACTTCTGCAGGAAAAAATTATGAGAAAGCCGGGTTTTACCGTGGCTGTATGGGCAGAAACAGCCATCCATTTTCTGATAACCACAGAAGCGCGCAGAACGCAACGATTGTGAAGTGGGCGAGAAATTTTTGCGTGAAAATGCATCCAGATTTCGCGATGATTCGATTTCGATCGCCGTCGAGCGCTAGTCTTTTGGGAGCCTTTGGGAGAATAGGAGTGTTATCAAACTGAGTGAAAAAACGTCATAAAATGGAATTGCAATGTGGTCGCAAAACAGCAAGGCAGCTATTTTATAACGCCTAATCACTGGACTCTCCTATTCTCCTATAAACTCAACACCAGCGGCCAGTGCCAATCGACAACCGTCTATGACTGCATCCCCGTCTATAGCACTGGAGCGCGATGGCAATGTAATGGGGGGGGGGGGGGGGGGGGAAAGGGTGATCAGCGCGACGATGCCTACAACGTGCAGCGACGCGCTTCGCTTTCGCGGAATCTGAACGCAGTCCAAGGTGGACGGCTCGAGGCAGTGATGTCACAGCCCTTTGAAGTTATTGTCATGCTCCCACACCTGCTGACAGCGACATGCGGCCATGGGGTATGGGCGCACCACGTGCAAGATCGGTTGTGCAGATTATCGCAAATTGTGTCCTGAGGGAACATCTAGTGTAATCGCTCGGTTTTGCTGTCTCCTTTTGGAAAAATTAACATGATTGCAACACTTCGGGACATCAAGGTGAAGGCGAAAGGGAAGAACCGTCATGGAACTCAAGCGAGACATCCGCTAAGTGTGAACGATCGAGCTGAGCGGGCGACAATGAGCAAACTATCGGGGATAGATGGCATTCACTGTGCCTCGTCGATCACTTCACCACCATGTTCTGCGGTCCGTGGGTCGGGGTAGGAAGATCCCGCGTTGGCGGGTAGCGCGACGAGAACGGCGATGTCGTATGGTGCTTGACCATTAATTGCAGCAAAACTGATTGGTCATGCCATGTGTGCGCATGAACCTTATTCCCACATCCGAGGAAATCGCTTGCCGCGGCGGTGCTTGGGAAGAAACGTTAGCGCGGAAGATGGCGGTATGCAATGCAATTTGGCTTAGCCCGTAGTGCCAGTACAGCATCACCGACGTCAATCTACCAATCATTCTCTTCGACGACGCCCGCACTGCGGTTCCTTCCTGACCAACATGTGGGCACATGTTATAGTTGTCACATGCATCTATGGAGGAATGGTTTTTTATCTGCCTAATTCACAATAGCAGCTACTTTCAAGAGATAGTCATTCTCAAAAGTACAGGTGGACGAGGAATTCTTTCCAGGAAGACATTTTGAATGAAATGACAATGCCACAAACACTTCGATGAATGAAGACTGACTAAATGGATAATAACGAACATTTT